TTTTAAGGCAAATACTTGTCATGGTCTCTGTGGAGTAAAACCTCAGGTTCAATGTTTATGGAGTAGTATTTCATTAATAGTTCATCTTGTAGGTAGTCACAGGAAGAAGTACATTTGAAAGTCTGCCGTGCCAAGAAGATTGGAGGTGTGGGAGGGCTGCTTGCATAAAATGTGACCTACGAGCATGCAGAAGTATTGTAAAGTATCATCCTTATATTCCTGTATTTAATGTGAATTCAGGGAATCTTTAAGTTGACTTACAATACCATTAGGGCCGCCTCATCCCCTTCAATTTTTGTCATTTCCTTCTTGCAGCACTAAATTTGACAGACTACCACGGTCTTGGTCTTTTGGTTTATATTCTGGTATCTGAACTTTTCCAGGCTTGGAAATACTGTTAGAAGGAAGATTTTTCTGGATTCAGTGTTACCTGTTTTACATATGATAAACTGTTTTAACTTAAATGGCAAATTTGGATTTCCAGCCATTTTATGAATGATGCCTATTTTTCATGTGTTGCTTGTATTATCTAGCATAACTGTACAAAATTTCCTCCTTCTGATTCTTGGACAAGTAAGTGTGAGCTCACTATGTCTGGGTGCATGGTCTTCATGCTTGAAAGCAGTGTCTTCCTCTTGAAAAGTGTGTACAGAAAGCATGTGTCTGAGGGAAACTAATCTGTTGGTCACATCAAGTGCTTTCCTTGTTTTGCTTTGGATCATAATAAATATTTTGTCTATCTTTTTTTCCTCCATAATTTTACTAACTGGGTTAAAATGACTCCATGTTCTGCATCCCAACCTGTGCTAAAAAGGTGTAACTGTATATGTGAGAGGCAAAGTGATGAAGAATGACAGGAGATGATCATTTCCATAGGCATTTCCAGTAAGTTTCTAAGTAATTGTATGATCTGTACCTCTAAAACATGCTTGAGAGTATTTTTTTCAGTGATCTATAGGGTCTCTGGCACCAAAAGTCCATTTAAGTACTCCCAGTCCAGAAAAATATCCAGCTTTATGATGCCCCCAGTGGCTAGAATAATTTGTGGCATTTTGTAGTTGTGCTGTTATGCTCGTGTGCTGTAGCTGTTTCCACCACCCCCTGGAGGTCAGCAGTCCAGATAAGATTTCCTAACAAACAGTTTGGTGTCTTTACATGTACACACAGAGATTCATTGTCTTGGGATGTTTGTAAATGGTGAGGTCTTGACACGTTTCTGGGGCAGATGGGAAGTGCCGTCTTTCTACTAAGGAAAACAGAGAATTATGTATGCTTGGGTGTTTCCTTTTACATGACTCGAAGAAAAGGTCAAGAAAATTTATTTAACTGCTTGGAATAGTTGATTTTGTTGATATTCAGAGAGTAGTACAGTTTTCACTGGCCTTACAGACTTGGTTTCTATGAAAAATTAAAATTTAGGAACAGAATCAGAACTGCAGTTTTGCAGTAGCTCCTTGTTCCTTTCACTAGGTGCAGAAAATTTTCAGCCTCACAATGGCTCAAATTTGGGTTCAGGAGCCTCTGCTGAAACCCACAGTCCTGGCACAGTTGTCTAGATAAAAATGTTTCTGCATGCACTGGCAGTAAAAGCTGCAACCAGGAGACACAGGTTTCAGGGCAGTAGTAGTAGCTTGTGTTCTCCAAGTTTGCGTATTGCTACGGAGGAAGGCCAGGAGCACTCAATGCATATCTGAGTGCGTGGCCAAGTCTGCATGTGCATGTTAGTCAAGCAGCATTGTTCTTTGAACATATTGCCTGTTGAGGTCCCTGCATTCAATCTCCTTTCAGTGCAGATTAAAGGCTGGGGTCTTATTTACTCTCCAGTAGAGTGCATGGCTGAGCTGGTGCACACAACAGCTTCTTAGTTTCTCTTTGAGCTTGAACATAGAAGAATAGAGATTCATGGCTCCCCACCCCCTGCCAGAGTAAATTGACCTCTTGGAGGCATCTCTTCACCTAGCGGTGTGAGGATAATGCAGAGCTGTGTACAGAAAGAAAAGAGCAGGATTTCTGATGGGACAGGGCTCAGGGCTTTTCTTTTGAGGGGCACTCAAGTGTGTTAGGATGAAATAGAAAACAGGTGAAAGAGGCCGACTCCTTGTCATGTGACTTCCATCTAAGTCTCCCTTGCATCTATAGCTGCTTGATCTTAAACCTTGGAGAGTGAATCTTTCTCATGTTTCTTACAGTTGCATTTGGCAGTCGGGTATCTTATACACCACTGAGCTCTTTTTGCGATGATCCCCAGAAAAGATGCAAAAGTCCTAACTCTAGAGAGGTTCCTGGTGGGGTCCTGTACCTCAAACCCTCACCCTTCTGCCTATTTTTAATTTTGCATCTTGCTTGGTTGAACATGCAGATTCTCTGGGCCCCGTGGAGCATGCATGGCCCACCTTTCAGATAGCTAATACTGCATCTTCTAATCCTTTTATGAACCTGCCCTGAGTGGCTTCTGATTGACCACATCTCGCGAAAAATCTAATATCACATGCCTATTTGTATTTGTATGCATGTGTTTTACAAATATTTTTTCATTTTTTCTATTCTCTTTTGCACAATATTGCACATCATTTTTATTTCACATGCAAACATAACTCATTGCTTTGGCAACAATGAGCAAAGGCATTTTGTGAAGCTATGTACATGTGACTGTGATATGAAAGATACATCTATCACTGCATTAAACTAAAAAGAAAGAGCCCAGCTTCAGAGTATCGCTCAAGCAGGCGATTTGAAATGGGATTCATCCATGTGCTTCAATAATTTCCTACATACCAGTCTAAATCACTGCTCTGAGCAAGGGTAACTGAAGATTGAAGAGGGGTAGTGTGTTTAATGGTGTAATACGAGCAGCTATTCAGTAGCTCACGCTTGCAATGCATGAGACTGTAAACTCTTGAACTGGCATGAGGAAAATTATTTTTACACTTTAGATTGCACTATAGACTGCTTATCTTTATGCTTCATCATTTTCCTCCCGATGGACTTGGATTAGGAAAATATGAGTACAGAGCCTTAGCACTGCTTTTCACTTCTGAAGATGGGACTGAGGTCAGACAGCATTGCCTGCATGAGATGAATACCTAGTCTGAACTTGCAATATATACTGCCCCTATCCTCATCAATAGACAGACACTTTTCTAAAAGTCTATGCTGTCCTACCTCACTGCCAGTTGCAAGGGATGGATCACACTTTGGAAGCCCCCCTTCCTCTGCTTTGTAGAGGCCAGGGAGGAGAAGTGAATCCCCTTTCCCCTTTCTTTTGCAAGTACCTCTCTTCTGTGTTTAAGGTGAGATGCAAGTTTGGCATCATATATACCTGATGTTGGCCTTCCAGTGGCTAATTTTACTCAATACAGTATTTAATTACAGTCATTTCTGCTCCCTGCTGCATTTGGTCTTTTTGCTGACATGAGGGAATTCTCAGTTAACTATACCTGGGGCTGAAGCATCAGCAAGCCACAGATAACAACAGTATTAGGTTAGATCCACATTAGCACGTTAGCTTTACTCTTCAAGAGACAAAACTTAAGCTGAGGAGCTGGGTCAAAATCCAGTTACTAGGTGAGAAAATATGGTACCCAGTGGGTATGCATTGCAGTGTTTGGTTAAAAGGTTTCATTTGAGCTAGATCAGTTTATGTGCTGGGGGAACTTTACCTTGATAAATGCCTGTGCTGAAATGATACCATCCAACTGCCTTGCCTTAAGCTGGTAGTTCATGAGCACTTTGCTCTTGTAGCATGAGAAACTGGAATTTTATGCTCCAATTCACTGAACCCATTTTGGAGAGAAAAGTCATTCTTCCCTTATGTTTAGTCTCTTGAGAATACCATCACTTTTGGACTTCTCTTTCTAACCCTTGCATTCCTTTGCATTACCTCCTTGCATGTCTTTATGAAGACTATTAGCAGAAAACAGTTTTTCGGAAGTTACTCATCAAGTTTAGCACTGCTTACATCTACAGAAGCAAGGGAGTGCTCTAATAAGTGATTTGCTCAAGCCTAATTTTAATTAATGTGGGCTGTTAAATGAAGAAATATTTCACAAAAGCTAGATCTGTGAGGGGCTGTGCAAGGCCTTTGTTCTCCACCTGATTCTCAGCATCTTTGTCTGATGAGGTGTTAAAGTAATAGAGGAAGACATTCAGTGTGTAGGGCATACAGTTCTTCAGGAATAACTCCTGAACCCTTTGAGTAGTCATTTATTTACTATGATGCCAAATTATGGTCTTACAAGCCACCACATCTGTCTGAAAATGCAGTGGAGATGTAGATCACAGAATTAGGGCAGAGGTAGCTGAGTCATTCCAAAACTTTTGTCAGCATGACTGGAGTTTATATCCTCAGGGGCTTATACTGAAGGAATGAAAGGGGTTGATCTAAGTCCTTGGCTTTCAGAGTTATTTTCCGTTATTTTCTCTGCAGTTGGATGATTCTAAATAATTGAAAAATTGTTATTGATACTGACCTTTATAAAGTGCCTTTATATCCACCTCATTGCCTTTATAATGCCACAGAATGTTAAAATGTGGCCAGATTCTTACTTGTTTTGCATCACCACCAGTTGAGACTCAGTGCTGCTCTTGAACAGGGGTCTCTCAACTTCATCTCTTATTCCACAAAGTAACCACAATGGCCTGGTAATCACAGAATCATTTAGGTGGGAAAAGACCTCTGAGATTGAGTCTGACCTTCGATCAGACACCATCATATCAAGTGAACCACACACTTCCTGTTATGCAACAGCCTGTGAGATCAGACTAATTTCAATCACATCTGCATTTTAGAAAGGCAGAATGTAGTAATTCAAGTGACTTTGGGAAAGTTCAGCAATCACTTATTAGAGATCCTGTATTTCTGGTGCATAATGGTGGGGAATGATAAAACCCTGCTTGCCTTGACTGTGGCACACCTCCCGTGATGAGAAAGGACTTTGTTGTTCTTCTCCAACTTTCCAGGTGCTTGTTGAGTTTTGATGTCATTTTTCTTTCAACTGCAGGTCACTTCATGGGGAACAACACAGTGATTGATGTTTTGAGGAGAGAAGGGTACGAGGTAGAACACACTCCAGCTGGACAAGCCATCAACAAGTAATGCATGCTTTTACCTAGCTGAGCAGCCATTGGGAGGATGGATGGGTTTGTAGACAATCATGAAGAAGTAGTGGCAGCTGGAACTATACCTAACAGTGAGCTGGATACCCCCTCTCCTTCCCAGCAGCTTGCTTTTCTCTTCCATGAGCCAGTTTGGAAATGGGTTTATATTTGGTTTGTGGGATATTTTTTGGTTAGTTTTTTTTTTTGTTTGTTTCTATGGTGGGGTTTTTAAATAAAATAAAATCCCCCCCCCTAAGTTTTTTACTCTTAAATGAACAGCCACAGAGTATGCATGCTTGGTTCCATCAGATCTGTATGCTGTCTCATATCACATAGGCTTCCAGGCTTCTTCTGCCTCCCTTTTAAGTGTTTGACTGCCCTGCTTTTTAGCACTGCTATTTTTTATTCTTTCTGATTACTCTCTCTCAGCCTGGAATCTGACCCAGCCTCTTTGCAATCTGTCCCCACCATGACTGATTGCTCTCTTGTCCCCTGCTCCCTTCTGCATTTTTAAGCCAAGGTACTTGCTGTTCTGGTTCATCTTGCAGCTATGCTTTGGGACATACTCTTACTGCTTCTTTTTGTCTCTCAGTGGATGCTTTTATCCATCTCCATAGTTTCAGTAACCACAAAATGCCAGATAATCTCCTCCTCCACTCTCTGCTGAGAATTACATGTGCTCTTGACTCACCTCTTCCTGAAATTATTGCCATCAGCTTAGGGTCTGGATAAGCTAAAGAAGATGGCACTTCACTGTTAACACTTCTGGATTACCTGGAAACAGAAATAAAAATACAAAACGTGTTTCAAGAAAAATGTTGGTTCAAATGAAAAGAGCATTTGAGGTGAAAGAAAGACTTGTGGCAAGAGTGTATCAGAGTCCTGGGGCTTGGATGGAGGATTTCACTTGGTTGCTGCCTTGGGCTTGTTCTAGGAGCAAATACCAGAGCAGTCAGTGACAGTAAACCCAGTCTAGCCCACACAAATGTGGAACTGTATCCAGTTATTGTCCCAGACAGGAGTGCTGCACACAGTCCAGACAGTACCCATGGACTATTTCATGGTACAAAATTGAGAGTGGAAAAAAATGGCTGAACTGAGACAGAGCATTCAAGCTACTATCCTGTAGTTGTATACAGTAGGAGTATTAACTGAGAGGTCCTAAAACAAGAAAAGGAGGAAGATGACTAAACAATAAGCTGCTTGTGAGGTATCTTGTAGATATCCATGTGTGGGAAGCAAGAAAGACATAGGATTATTATGCATGTTTTCCATGCAAGCAAATTACTGGGTGCAGTTACACAATTTCACCTGCTGACAGTGCTGTCTGAGGTGTGCTGTCCATCTGAAAGGGAAATGGGATGAATGCCCCTATTGGAGGCAGAAGGGTTCCTTCTCCCTGGTGTCTCCAAAGCAGGGAAGACAAAAGATGTGCTCCCACCATGCAGCAGTGCTATTGACAGTTTATAAATAGTAGCACGAGTTCAGTCAAGATCCTTTTGACTTATTTTGGGCTTTAACTGTTCCTGATTTTAGAATGCATATATCTATTGTAAAATACTTATCACAAACACAGCTGTAATTAAGGTGCTTCCTAACTCCTCCCTTAGCTGCTGTACTGGGAGAGAGAACTGGCCTGGGGAAGAAGGACATGCTTTTGCATCTGCATGCCTTTGTCAATGGTTGCTCAGTCAGTCCCTGGAAGAATTGCCTTCAGGAAGTGTTGCAAAGGAGGTTGTGTATATAGGTGTCCATTAATAGTGTCTGAGACCTCATCTATCAGAATAAATGGTTGGCCATGCAGGATGCAAGTCATCCTGGCTGTGCCTGTAGCACTGCTGGGCCCCAGTATGGTACAGCCATGAGTTCGGCAGGGAAAGATGCAGGCAGCATGGCAACCTAATCTGTGGGGGAGAGCTGCTGTCCACTGTGTGACTTAGACAATGAAGGAACAAAAGTTGTGAAGAGAGATTAGGAAAAAGGAATTAATAGGCAGAGGACCTTCAAAGAGATCAAATCAGGTCACTGGAGACAGTTAGTGAGGCATCACTCTGTAAAGTGAAGTTTAAGAGTGGATGATGTGAAGCAGTTGAGGAGGGGAGCTGAAGGGTCATGATAGTTCAGAGGTGATAAGTATGACAGTGTGACAATCACAAGGATTTTGAAAGCGATTGATAGCCCAAGACCCATTCTGCAGCAGTCCTTGTTAAAAAAAGTTCACCACATGATCAGTTTGATTTTCCTTACAGGAAATAAGACAAACTATCTTTGCTTTCCATCTACTCTCTTCCTCCTGTTTCCAGCCCATAACTTTATTTCTTCTTCTCCAGGAAGGCCTCTTTTATCTACCATCAAGTAGATGTGCCCACAGTGATGGGCTAGCTTGAAAACTGCAGCCACACTGAAACATGTCTCCTGGACCTCCTCCTTTCCATTGCATGGCAAAAAGGGAACATGCTATAGTTCTGGGAAAGTGTCACTGGTTAACGCCAAGTTTCTGCCCAATGGTCTGTGGTTTTCTGTTATCTTTCCATTTTCAGCCCAAGCCAATCTCCTGTTTTGTCTTGTCACAGAAGACTGTTGCATCTCTTCTCTTTATGAAGCAGCCATAAGATCAGTCAGATATTCCTATTGGGTTCTGTGTATATACAGAGTGGATTGAGTTTGTGGGTTTGCCCAAAATGCCCATGAATAAGTAAAGAGGGGGAATTGCTTTGTTCCAAACAATGAGTGTGGGCCAGCAAAGCCATGAGTGGATAGGATACTGCAGACTGCCTGCCTTGGAGTATAGATGAGATGCTGGATGCACTAAATGTAAAGAAACAGAGCTTCAGTAATCAGAGTGTAGCTGATTGTTTTTTCAATATATCACCTTCACAGGAAGTTGGATAACCATAGCCCTTAGAGCTTTTTCTGGAGGCTTGACCTAGTGGTCTTTTGGGTTTCCAAGATTTGCCTTGTCTGAGAGTTTGTACATGTAATAAGACTTCACAGCAGTATCTCACTTGCTGGAGCTGCTTTGAAACTCCAAATAATGCTGCCAACCTAATACAGGATCTGTGCAGCTGCAAGGCTGAAGGCCCAGCTCCTACTCCTTTGTTACTATAGAATGTGTGCAAAGTTCACTTCTGCTTATAGGAGAGATGCAATTGCTTAGCTTCCTCCTCTCCGTGTGGACCTCCATACTTGTCTTTAAAACTCTAGAAGACCATCATTTCGTGCTCCTTGGTGTGCTTACCTGGGTGGCAGGACAGCATTACATCCTTTTGCAGATCAGTATGGAGACAGTAAATGCTAGAAGCCAATGTCACAATAGTGTATTTGGGCACTGGTCTCCTATGTGTCAGACACGTACCCTGACACAATGTCATGTTTTGTGAAGGCTATGCCTTCACTTTTTTGTACCATCTGGCTTCATGAAAGAGAAAATGAGAAGAGAGTGGACTTGGTGCTGCCAAAACTACTCTGCTTTCGGTTGCTGCAGACTAGATGGCCCAAAGGATTGCTTAATCATAGAATTATAGGATGTTAAGGGTTGGAAGGGACTGTAAAGATTGTCTAGTCCCAACCTTCCCTGCCCTGGGCAGGGACACCTCCCCCTAGACTAGGTGGTTCAAGGCTTTATGCACCCTGGCCTTGAGCACTGCCAGGGTTGGGCCATCCGCTACCTCCCTGGGCAACCTGTTCCAGTATTGCACCACCGTCACAGTAAATAATTTCTTTCCAATATCTAGCCTAAATTTCCCCTCTTTCAGTTTATACCGAGTACTCCTTGTCCTATCATTATGGTTCCTGATGAAGTCTCCCACTCTGGCTTCCCTGTAGGCCCCTTCAGATACTGGAAGGTTGCTATGATGTCTCCACACAACCACCTCTTCTCCAGGCTGAACAGCCCCAACTTTCTCAGCCTGTCTTCATAGGCGAGGTGCTTCAGTGCTCTTACCAACTTTGTGGCCCTCCTCTGGACTTGATCCAACAGTTCCATGTCCTTCTTATGTTAGGGATACCAGAACTGTATGCAATACTCCAGGTGGGGTCTCACAAGAACAGAGCAGAGCAGGAGAATCACCTCCTTCAGCCTACTGACCATACTCCTTTTGATGCAGCCCAGGATTCACTTGGTTTTCTGGGCTGCAAACATGCAGTGCCAGCTCATATTGAGTTTTTCATCAACCATCATCCCCGAGTCCTTCTCTGCAGGGCTGCTCTCCATCACTTCTCCATCCAGCCTATAGGTGTGACTGGGGTTACCACGACCCAGGTGTACATCCTTGTGCTTCACTTTGTTGAACTTCTTGAGGTTTGGATTGGCCCACCTCTCAAGCCTGTCCAGGTCCCTTTGGATGGCATCCCTTCCCTCCAACAAGTCCACAGCACCACAGAGTTTGGTGTCATCAGTGAACTTGCTGAAGGTGCACTCAATCCCACTGTCCATGTAGCTGGCAAAGATATTGAACAGTATTGGCCAGTACTGACCCCTGAGGGACACCACTCATCTTTGGCCTCCACGTGGACAATGAGCCATTGACCATAACTCTTTGCGTGTGACTGTCTAGCCAGTTCTTCAGCCATTGAGTGGTCCATCCATCAAATCCATCTCTCCAATTCAGAGACAAGGATGTCATGCAGGATGGTGTCAAACATTTTGCATATGTCAAGGTAGGCAATGTCAGTTGCTCTGCCCCTGTCCACCAATGCTGTGGTCCCATCATAGAAGGCCACCAAATTTGTCAGGCATTATTTGCCCTTGGTAAATCCATGATGACTGTTAGCAATGACCTTTGTGTTTTCCATGTGCCTTAGCATAGTTTCCAGAAGAATATGCTCCATGATCTTGCCTGGCACAGACATGAGACTGACTGATCTGTAGTTCCCTGGATCTTCCACTTTCCCCTTTTTAAAAATGGGGCTTATATTTCCCTTTTTCCAGTCCACAGGGACTTCACCGGACTGCCAGGATTTCTCAAAAATAATGGATAGTGGCTTAGCCAGTTCATCCACCTATTCCCTCAGGACCCGTGAATGAGTCTCATCAGGTCCCATGGACTTGTGCACATTCAGGTACCTTAGAGAGTCTTGAACCTGATTTTCTCCTAGAGTTGGCTCAGGGTCTTAGTTTTCCTGGTCCCTGTATTTGTGTTTCCTGACTTGGGCCATGTGGCTAGAGCATTTGCCATTAAAAACTGAGGTGTGGAAGTCATTGAGAACCTCAGTCTTCTCTCTGTCGAGGGTAGCCAGGTGTCCTATTATTGTTAATATAATATTGAGCCATTCCCTTCAAAGGTGGTATTCTGCAAGATGCATTTCTGTAGTCATGACCATAGTCTGTGGACTAGCTCCTTACTTACCATCTCCACCAGTGAGAGTTGATGATCCAGGACTGGCTTTGTCAGCTAGTGTGCTTAGTTGTTTTATCCCTGCCCCTTCCTCTTGCCCCCCAGTTTACTTGGGTCTGGGCAGGAAAAGCTGAAAGAGATAATCTGGTCTGTGTTCTGCAGTACCTCAGACTAGAGGAGTGTGGTTTGATGTACTCTGACTTTGACAGTGATTCCTTTTTTGTCTCTTTTTAGACATGCAAGGTTATTACCAAGAGTTATTCCACCCCAAGCCAGACTGCATTCTTTCCTCAGATCCATGTTGCCTCTTTTCCAAAGCTATTTTTTTGATCAGAATATTGACTTAAGGAAGAGAGGGCAGGAATACAAGGCAGAGAAATATGTATCCAGCCAATATGTCAGGGAGAAACAACTATTTTAGTATGTATCTGCCTTGATAGTACCTGTGCCAGGATTTTGCCTCAAAGCCCTTTCAAACGTTGTCTGTGTTCCCTCTTTCTTTCAGCAGAGAATCCCCAAAAACCTTGCTAGCCTTTTCATCATCACACAGTCCTTATGTTGCATCCCAAGAGTTTCCACTGCCTTTGCACCCCCAGAAGGAGGAGGAGGAGGAAAGGTTCCTGCCTCATCTGCTGCTCCCTGACAGTACTGATGTTCTGGAGAAGGTAGACAGGAAGTACAAAAAGAAAAAGAAGAAACAGCAGAAGAAGCAAAGACTGCGTCAGTTTAATGACCTCTGGGTTCGCCTTGAAGAAAGGTAGCTAATGGCTGGGGTGGGAGAATGGTTTGTCATGCAAACTGGACTTTATCTTAGGCTGTTTAATCAAGTACATCAAACCTCTGCATGGGCTAGCTACATGCTGAGGGCAGGATCTGACCTCCCTCACCTTGATTCTTTCTGAAACATTTAAATAAGGAGGCTTGTGCTTTTAGTAACAAAGTTGGTTTTATTTTTTTTCTTATTGCATGGTTAGGTTTGTGGAAAATCAGACATAAAACAAGTGAAAGCCTTGTCTAGATCATTTTGCATTTGGGTTTGAGTGACTGTGAGCATATGGCAGTCCTCTGTATTACGGAAGGCTGGGTCCAATGGTAGATGATACAGATGACAGCCTTGAACTTTTATCCAAGAGCTGCAGCATATGTAGAAACTGTCATATCTGGCATATGTGCTCCTTGCATTTGGACAATACTCGTGGAGTATTTCCAGTCTCTGTATTCTTCCAGAATTAAAAAGCATGTCAGCTTAATGGATGATGGAGTTACTATAAAAAATTGAGTGTGTTGCATGGTGAAGTTTGCACATACCCCTTAGTTTTCATTTAGAAGAGCTTACTTACCTACAAGAACTGCAGCAGCCTGCAAAAAAAGACAAACCAACTTCTCCCTCACTACCTATACTTGGGCCTGTGGCTGAATGCATGCCTTGATGTTTCCCCCGTCAGTTAACACACACACCTGAGTCTGCTCGCTATTGTGCCTTGTGTCTCTGCATCTCTTCTGTACTCAGGTTGAAAGCATTTGATTTTTTTGGTACTGTAAATAACCCTGGGTCGCAGTTGTACCACTGCTATGAGTGATACTTTGCTCATGCTGACTGCAAGCAAGTACAGCAGCTGTGGTTCTGTTCTGAGCATTCAGCCACTGTTAGATCTTTTAGACCAGACTCCTTTCTCTGGTCCTTCACCCAACCTCAGTGTAAGTATTTTGGAGAGAGAAAGGGAGTCAAATGCACATGGGGGTTAACACACCTGCTGGCAAACCTACACACAGTCCAAGATTCACCGGTAAAACAAATCCTGTTTTATCACACTTGATTTTTGTTTGTCTTTCAGTGTGTCATTTACTTTCTATTAATGTAGCTGATACCAGCTGATTGTGAAAGGATTTTTGGAGTTTCTGTTGATAGTCTGTTCAGTTGAAATGCTAAGCAATTACTACCCTAAGCTCCTACCCTGGCTTCACAGTGACATGTTCAGTTTTTCGCATGTATTTGTTCCCATGAAGCTCAGGGAAGTCAGTGAGCAGTGACTGTGATATATGCATGCACTTGCAGTATTAGTGCCTTTAGAAGAACAGAGAAGATCTGCTACTGTGACTATGTTGGAGGCACATTAGGAGTACAAACCAAATTGCAAGTACTGCCAAGCAGTAGTGAGGTACAAACAAAGCTAATGATGGCAGCTTAGGAAACTATTGCATAAATAAAGGAGCAGTAAATGCTGCTTTCCTTAACTTCTTTTGTAATGTTTCCTTTCTTCTCCTACTAATTAAGACATCCCTTCTGTTAGAAACTTATCCAGGTGCTAGGTGACATACTCTTTTTAGGGGCGAGTCCTTGGTAGCAGAGATCTTGAAGGTCTGGAGATGAAGCTCTTTCATGACAGTGCTGGGAAAGACAAGCGATGCCTTGGAG